TGCCAAGGAAGGTGGAAGAAATACCTTATATACTTCCCCTTTTAAAGGGCGACTGGGTTTTTTAGGGGACCCAATCGCCAAATCCTGGGTGGGGAGAATCATCACCCACCACCCTTTTAGTTCGGGCGCTACTGTAGAGACATTATGTTAATTGGAAAAAACCGAAAAGATGAAAAATGAGTAAACGATTTCGCCGGGAATCGAACCGCGGACCTCTAGAATACGCGCCCAACGTACAGAACACCACACCATGAAGGCGGGGGAAATACCTTATAGTTTTTTTTTAAATGTATAGCGATAGAATGGTGATTTATAATTTTTTTCAGATATAAAATGATAGCTATTCTTAGACAAAAGTTAAAATCGCGTAACGTTTGTTGACTTGATTTTCAAACTAAATCTAGTATCTAGCGTTTTCCTTTGCGCTTTGAAGAAAAGAATAAGTTCGTAAAGACTTTGAACTCTAATTTTCTACAAGATTACCAGAAATATTTTTGGCAACAGCGTATAAGAGGTTAAACTTTGTCAGTTCACAAACGAACTCCTTTATAGAGTGTGAATTCCTTAACGTGGATATCGTAATCTCATTTTCATAGTGTTGTGAAATTTATCGATGTTTATACTCATGAAATAGAATTAAAAATTACTAAAGATAAGAAATTTCACGAAAATATTTTCGGCTAAATGACTGAAGTATCTATGAATATTGAACATTTATCATTATATTTTCAGACAGCTGTAATTTTTTAGTATTGTATTTGTTATCAATACTTTTTTAATAGATGCAAATATTTACGAATTTAGTTTATAATTTTACTTTTATGAATATCTGTAGTATTGTTTATTGTTTTTTGCTTATTTATTTATTTATCTTATTTTATATGATAATCTGATATTTATTATCTACTTTGTTTAATTTTGGAATTGTGGCTATTTATGTGTTTGTATGGGCTTGTTTCGTATATTAGTTTTTTCCGTTTTTAGTTCTGAGTCAATTAACTTTGAAACTGTAAGAGTATCTCAAGTGAAAATAAGGGCAGCTTGTCCTGCTGAGTTTTAGAGATAAAATGTTCATTATGCTGGCGAAATATGGCAATATTTTGGAAGTTTCTTGAAAATGCATTTTAGAAGCCCGAGGAGTAATTTATCTGAAAAATTTCGGAAGTACTTATTCCTTTGCAGGAATGTTATTGTTATTCTAGTTATAACTTATCTCACTTGTTTGATAATAACATCAGAGCAAGCCTATGAAATTCATCATGACAAGGAGTGCAAGATTGCTCCTGTCGTTGGCAAGAGCCTTTGAGCACCATACAGTTGACAGCACGACTTTGCTCAATTCTGGCAGCCAGTTGTGATGGAGATCACCTCGGGGGGACGGGTCCAAGTGTCTCCTAACCCTTTTTCTTAATCTTCAGCCTCTCAAGAGGACTTTCGGCTTGCCGCATATTTAGAATGCCCCATGCCGCACGGAAACTGTACATTTAAAAACATCCATACCTTCTCTGAGATTCGAACTCGAGTCCTTCGGTACGGCAGTCAGCATCACTAACCACTACCCCGGTGCGGTGGCAGGAAAGTTATAAATATAACGAAGCCTTCAACTAGTTAGTTGACAATCAGTAGTCCAGAGCTGCGTAAGAGCTCACTTTAGAGCTTGCGACTATTTTGTGACTGAGCATCTCGCTTAGTGATTCTGCTTTAGACTTATTTTCATTCTTTTTTATTGAGTTATAGGAAGGAAATGAAATTTAAGGTTCGAAGAGAAAAACGCAATTTTACAGGAGCTATTCAAGAATTTAAAAAATGAAAGACGAGATAAACCTAAGCTGTCGGTAAAAAGCATGATGCGTTGGCCATAACTGGTTGTAGGATATAGCAACTAGTCAAACGTTGCTACGACCTAGGAGTGTTGAGGCAAAAATACAGAGGCATTTCGCACACTTTTTTGCTGGAAACTTTTTTTAACTGCAACTATATTTTTCAATGGTACTTCACAGCTTTTTTTTCGTGAAAAATTGCGCTTCTAAAGAAGCAATGGATTGAAGGCTATGTTTGTACTCTTTCCGAAGAAAATTATTGGTATCTAGTTGTTAAAAAACGCTGTAAAAGTCATGGTTATTTGATTCTAAAGCTATGGTAGATAGAAAAAAGTCCAAGTTTGGCTTCAAGTGGAAAAATTGTTCCAAATAATAATTCCAAGGGAAAAACGGAATGTTTCGATTGTTGCAAAGATAAGACCTTTAATGTTAAAGGAAAATCCGCCAAGTCATAGGACAGCTACAAAATCATTAAAATATTTAGTTTCTACTGTAAACAAAGAGCTAAATGCTGATTTAAATCTTGAAAAGGCGAAAAACATAGTTTGCATCATCTTTCTGCAAGACATATTACTGAAAGCAGAATACGTTGCAAAATTCTTTATAAGAAACATTCATCCGGATAAAAATGAAAAACATGTTGTCAGAATAGGCTAATCTTGGATGTATTTAAACGATTAAAAAGAGCTCCATTTATGGTTATCAAAGAGGAGAAAAAAATCTTAAATCTTTACTAATCTTAAATCTTAATCTTTACTAGTTTAGAAACCAGCTTTGCTTAGTCTATGAATAAAAACAAAATGTTTTTTATTGTCAACAATTTGACAATTCTTAGGCAATATGGTGTTTATATATTCAATTTTCTTATAGTTATCCCTGCTTCTTTAATTACTATAACAGCAAATAATACCGTTTTTATTTAAAATAAGTACCAAAAATGAGATATAATCTCTTAATGACTCGCAAATTTCTATACAGAACATTTTGTTATGTTGTGTCATGTGGAAGGAAAATAGAGAAACTAACATTTGTTACGATGGTAGAGTTATGAGTTGAAATAATATTACATATTCTTTTGGGAAAAAAACTAATAAATAAAAGAAAAAGAAAAAAGGAAGAAAACATAATAAAGAAAATAACCGTTTTCACTGAAATTATAAATATGACTAAAATTCACACACAGGTAATGGAATGATTAAAGTTCAAGGCTATGAGATCCATCTGTGGCTAACAGTTGCACATTGAATGTTCAAATTAGAAGCTGGAGAAAGCCCCACTGGTGGCGATGCATGCTTGTAAGCGTTCAGGTAAAGACTGATAAAGATTCCTAATCTCATACTAAGATGCATTTTACTAGGTATCCCTCAACTGTTGCTTCAGATCGTCGATGTTTTAGGGTGCCCGATTCGGCAGCCTACTATATACTATACATATTTGATTGGCGAAAGGTCTGGTGGCATTGTTAACAAACAAGAGTTTCAACATCTCGAAGACAGTCAAGAGATATGCGAGTCGCATGGGGTCTAGCATTATCCTATTGTAAAATGGCTCCAGGATGGCGTGCCATGAAGGGTAACGCAAACGCCTGTAGGATATCATCAACATATTATTTAGCTGTTAAAGTTTTTTGCAAGACGACTAAGGCCGGCCTACTGTAAGAGATAGCACCTCATACCCTCACAACAAGGGTGGTCTAGCATTTGTAAAATGAAGTTTGATTGAGACCATTAGCCCTGCCCTTTCCACGCATGGACCCGATGCTCAGCTGCTCCATGATTGAAGCGGAACTCATCGCTGATTACTATGGGTTGCCAATCGGCTGGCAGCCATGACGATCGGCTGCCGCACCCCTTCAGACGATTCTATCGATTTTCTGGGGTTAAAGACAGATGTCTTAAAAACTTCATGTCTTAAAATGCAACCCCGCCTCAGCCAAGCTCCAGGAGATGGTAGAAAGTGCCAGTAGTGAATGGAAGAAGCTGTAACAAGTTGAATAGCGCGCAATGATGCCATTGAGGCAGTTCGGTCCTGCTGCACAATCATTCGATCTTGCTTCGCATTCGTACACCTTCGTCTTTTAAAGCCCTTGATTCCGTCGGTGAGTAACCTTTGCAGCAACCAATGTTGCCAGCACCTTCGCACAACCGTGTCCGTGCGGTGCAGGTGGCGGCCTGTTGCTCAGTATGTCTAGACCGCCTTTCGCATCCCTACTACGCGACCACGTTCAGAGTCGTCCAAATGACTAAAACGTCCTCGATAACATCTTAAGGGCGTTATTGGTTGTGTCTTCAGGAAACTGCAACGCCGACAACGAGGAAAGATAAACTGTTCGCAACTGTTACCTGTTTTCTAGTTGCTCAGTAGAATTGTGCATGATGATCGAAATTAACACTCGTTGTTAAATTTCATTGCCCTGTAAAATTTAACCATTTACACAAAGGAATTTGCATATAAAATTTTCAGATCATGGGATTACTTTTAAAGGTACTTTTTTTTTTTTTTTATTTCTTTATTTCTTTGCATCCTTAGAGCAACAAATTTGCAGCTTTAATATTTTCACTTATTAATTAACCTTATTCTTAACCCCTCATACTTCCTTTAAAATTTTATTGCTTTCATTAAAATCAGAAATCCATCGGCAAGTCTTTGATGTCATTGAAAGATGGTAAGAAATCCTGAATTCTTAAGACAGTTTCTAATTAGCTTCATTATTCTTCAGACTTACATACTTTTCAATGCATCATATTAATTCATAATGCCCATCTTCTTTGTTCTGGTTTTCCAAAACTTGAAGATTGCTTTCTTGAAGAACAGGAGCTTTGCAGTATGATAAAATAGCATTATAATTAAAACCCGGGAAATACACATAATATATAGATATAATAACGTTGTTTAGTAGGAATAATCGAGACATTTTGAAATTTTCTCTGGCACTGACAATCACGGTGTTTAACTCAGAAAAATCTTCGGCTGATTGTAGCAATTTTCGACTGAGTTATGACTTCCGACTTTTGCAAGCCATAACCTTGGATTACTTTCCAATCAACCTAATATCTCTTAAGAATTAGCAAAATCAGTAATTTTTATTAAGACACCTAATTTTCTTATTTTGTCTGCATGTACTCTTCTAGAAACCAGAAAACCGTATTTAATATTTGATTCATTCATTCTCATTTTCAGGTATGATAAACTTCCTACTCAGTGACAAACCTGTAGCCGAAATCTTAAGAGAAAATGTTACTTTCAAATTTATTCCAATGCTTAATCCGGACGGAGTGTACGTTGGAAACTACAGGTATAATACATACGTTATCTTATTAACAAGCTATAATAGAGTTCAATAATACATACATTATCTTATTAACAAGCTATAATAGAGTTCAATGTCTAATGCATTTCTTTATGTAGAACATGTATCTTGGGTCAAGACTTAAATCGCTGTTGGCAAGAGACCTCGACACATGCCTACCCTACGTTGGCTGCAGTGAAAGGCGTAATTGAGTCGTTAGCATTAGAAAAGGTAAATGAAAAAATAGTGATATATCCATCTTATTCTTCATCTACAGGATTTTTTTAACTACTTTAACGACACATGTAAAAAATACATTTCTGCTATCAGCAACAATTTCGAGCAGAAAGAGATTTTGAGTGTTTGGTGAAATGGCACCATGAATAATCATATGTGTATTTGCTCCTATCATTAAGGTTGGGTTACTATATTTTAAGAAAACGAATCCAGGTCGTCTTTATGAACAATTCATTTCAGAGTTAGTAAAGCCTTAATGGTTTTAAGTTAATGAGACAACCGAAACGTTTAATGAAAAAAATGAAAAAATAAAAGCAAATGAAAATGCAAAAGAACTCTATCAATAAATGTATCCAAAATATTGAAAAGTGGATTGCGTTCTCCAGTAGCTTGATCATGAAAATAAAGATGATGTGAATGCGTATTAATGAAACGGCCCACTAACATCTAAGAAATTTCTTCAACTTAATAAAAACATTACTTAAGTTTCGTTCTCTTTCCTCGCTTCTTCTATAAATTAATAATTTCTTTTTCCTGAACTTTTATAATCACCGACTTTTCTAACAATGTAAATCATTGTGAACAACAAAAGGCATTTCCGCACAGCTGATCAAACACAATTATTTGGCCTATGGTTACCCACATGATTATTTCAATGGTACCCATTCCTACTTTGATGGATAGTCTGAGTTGTGCTTGTATTGTACAGTTATCAGGTTTTCTCTTTAAAAAAAAAAAAAAAAAAAAAAAAAAAAAAAAAAAGAGGTCGAAAATGTGCAATGCCTTTGTCGGGACTCGAATTCTGGACTCTCGAATACGCGTCTAGTATCCTTCCAACATCACCACTAAGGCATGCGGAAAAGAGGGATATAACGCCTTTTAAAGGGTGACTGGGGATTCGGGGACCCATTCGCCAAATCCTGGTGGTGACAAATTATCATTCATCACCTTTTAGTTCGGACACCACTCGTAATGTAATTAGTTTATATCGATCCTGAAACGTGAAAAATATACGGTGCCCTCACCGGAACTCAAGCTCCGGACCTCTCGAATACCCGTCGAGTGTGCTTTCTAGAAAGCGTGCGGAAAGGAGGAAGGAAATATCTTATATGATCCCCCTTTTAAATGATGATGAGAAAATCCAATCGCCAAATCCTGGTGGTGACGAATTATTGTCCATCAAAGAGTTTTTTGTAGAATCATTAGGTTTCTAATGCTGAGAGACGTCAAAAATGTGCAGTTCCCTCGCCTGGACTCGAAACCTGGACCTTTCGAATACGCATCGAGTATGCTTCAAATTACACTCCGAAGGCATGTGGAAAGGAGGGAGATTATACATTATATGTCCCCTTTTTAAAGAGCAACTGGGGATTAGTAGACCGCATCGTCAAATCTTGGTAGAGACAAATTATCTTTCACCATCTTTCAGTTCTTGTAAAGTCATTAGCATTTTTGATGCTGGAGACGTGAAGCAATGTCCTCGTCGGGACTCGAACTCTGCACCTCTCGAACACGCGTCTAGTATGCTTCCATTTATACTAGGAAGACGTGCGAAAAAGTAGGGAGGAAATATATTATACTGTATTCTTATTTTTTCTGGAATTCTTTTTAAGAAGTTTATCCAAAATGAATTCAACCCATATTGCAGCATCTGAAGGAAAACTATATGCAATTCACGATCTGTATCGATGCAGGCAGTTTTATGTTACTGAAAATTCTATAGCAATACTTGAAGATATAATCAAAGCGAAACTTAGAGATGCAAAACTTGGATGACGAAAAAAAGGCAACGGACAAATTTCAGAGTATATTTATAAGTCTAATGTAGCCGAAACAAAAATTTAAATTCATTTCTCGATGGCATGCAAATGTATTATAGAGAAGAAGCTGCTTCTATACCAAAACGTTTTAGTGATGATATTAATGATATGTTCCAGTCAATTTACCATCATCTCAAAATTTTAAATCATCTGTTCATAGAATAAGGAGAAATTTTGAAAGACTGTCCACTAACTAATATTATTAATAACTAAATAATGTTATTAACTTAATTTTTCCTAGTTATTTTATTGGCTTTCGTTTGTACAATAACATAGACAGAATTCTGCTTTGTACTGAAAGGAAGATAAATTATTTAAAAAATGAAGCATATACAATAATTTTTGCAAGCAATTTTCTAAGTTCTATACCTTGCATACAGATTTGCATTGTTCACTGATCGTGCGTAAAATAAAGTATATGCTCTATTGTATGGTAAAAAGAAGGATTTTTATTATAAAATATTTCAAAATTTAAAGGAAAGCATTGCAATTCAAAACACATTATAATGGATTTTGAACAAAGAGCAGTTAAGGTCATATAACATACTTATATCACAATACACTAACCGCCTAATGGTTTAAAAAAAAAAAAAAGAAAAAAAAAAGAAAGTTTTAAAATTTTGTTTCGAAAAGGGAAGAAGAAAGTCTATAATTTTTAAAAATGGCAACATTTTGCTGCCGTTCCAAAGCCTGGAAAAAAGATGAAGAGAGATTATACATGCTTGTAAAAAGAACTGAAATATTTACCATTCCTAATACAAATACGCGTTCACAATACATAAGATAAATGCATTGTTAAAAGTCTATGCATTCCTGATAGTCTAAAATTTTGCTAAAGCAAGCAAGAAACATCATCATACAAGGTTTACTGAAAGATACAGGAAAAGACGGTGGTTTTGGGTAGAGGCACCAATTAAACTACACGAACTATAATTAACGGATCATCAATGAATACTTTTTGTACTAAAATATATCTGATTTCAATTTGGGAGGAAAAATCTTATGCGGAACTGCCCCTAAACCTTAAAAATCTAGTATTCTTTCTGTCCAGAATATAGTCCTGAACATAATACGAATCCTGGATTGTCCTCACGAGGCTAGGATGTTTGATAACTCTATTCAAAGACAAAAAGCATAAATGGATAACAGTGAACTTAACATGCTTTCAACAGAGTTCTTGGGAAATCTGAGGATTATGTAATCATCTTTCTCATTCACCATTTCTGCAGAGTAGTTTCATACCAGTTTTCAGATTTCAAATTTTTCAAACTACTAAAGTTCCAAACTCATATACCCTTCCCGTGAAGTACGATAAATAAATAAATAATAACAGTAATAAAAACGCAGTACTGTCTTCAGAAGTAAGAAAGGACATTTCCTTTAGTTGCGATTACAAAGGGAATTTTCCAACTCTGCATGCCTTCGTGGTCTAACGGTAGCATACTCGGTGCGTATTAGAGAGGTCCAGGGTTCGAGACCCGGGGAGGGCATTGCTAATTTTTCCTGTACTTCTGCTTCAAAATAACCTAATGGCTGTGCATGATAATCTGTTGGCCATAGAAGAAGAAGAAGGGAGCATTGTTTTGCGATCTTCCTGAATGTATTTCATGAAAAATTAAGGAATTTGTTTTGTTGTGACTGATCTCACTTGTCTAACAGTAACATCAGCACAAGCCCACGAATTTATTTCCACGAAAAAGGAATACAAGATAGCGCCTGTCATTGACAATATCATACCTGTCATTGACTATGACAATCCCTGCCATCCTTGGGAACCATATAGGTAGTACGACGTCGCTCAGTTCCGCCCTCAATTTTGGTGGAGAGCACCCCATACATTACAAACTTCTATGCCTTCTCCGGGATTCGAAACAGAGCACTTGGGTACATTAGTCAGCGTCGCTAACCGCTATTCCGATTGGGCAGCAGATTAAGGAATCTGAAGAGCTCAAAGACCTTGTATTTACGGTTTTTTCCCATGTTATGTTGAATTTCGGATCCACTGGAGATTAGATTCACTAGCATTTAGTTACGAATATGTAAAACATAAATGCTTTCAGGCTTATATTTCCGAACTTTATGATGAAAACTTTTCATAGTTTGCATTTTACAGGATAGAATTATCTTAAAACAAAACGAGATAAGAAGACAAAATATGTATTACTGCATCAAAATTGTGCTTTCGTTTTGCCGATTACGACTTGTTAGCTCAATCAGCAATTTAATTTTATCACGAATGCTTCCGTATAGCAGCACAATTTAAAACTATGTACAGTGTTACAATTTATTTGTAATTTGTTAATGTACAACTGCCAACGGTTAATAGCATTTAATAGTTATTACATATTTAAACATATTTAAGGATATTTGCTTCAGTGTATTTCAGTACTAACTAGATATAATGTTTTTAAATAAATTTCCATTTATAATAAATTTATGCATGCAAGTGCAATATAAGAAAACTTGGAATTATTTTACCTTATATCTATTACATTACATAAAATCATATACTTTAGTGTCTGCTACGTATCTTTCGCATCTCCTTTATGATAGGATATTTATGCTCCAGAAAATAATAACCTGGAGAAAATCAAATTTTCTTTTTTGGTCCTTTGACTCAAACTACGCTATTAGTTGATGGCTACTGAATGAAAACTGAATGAAAAATATTTTCCTTCAGTTTTCTTAAATTATATCTTTAGGAGCAGCAAGCGTAACGAAATTATAAAAATGTGAAGATATATATTTTGGTTAAGAAAAAACTAAATAGCAAAACAAAACTGAAAATGAAGTTATGACTCCGTCTAAAAGATACATGTGCTGCTGGTAAATTAAAGGTCTTTCGTTCAACACCTCATAAATGTTTTTGCGCAGTTGAACATAAGCGTTTATCATGAAAGTTGGGAACATGTCACAGCAGATGGCCGCTCCTCTGAAACATCCGACACATATTTATTATTGTTATTAGTACCATTAGTGTCATGCATTGCATCGTAAATTACATAAAGAAAGAAGAAAATTCGCTTTAGAATTTCGAAGGGAATATGACACAACTGAATTAAGACAAGAATTAGAAACAAAATTCGAATAAAAAATATATAAAAAAAATCTGAAAACTTTAAGATTTTATATTACGACCAAATGGGCGTATCACTGATATTGCCATTTTTCATT